ATTCTTTTGTAACCATTGTCTTATTCAACGACACCCATTTGTTGGTTTTCATAACCTACTTGTGCCCAGATATAATCACTTAAGTCACATCATCCAGTAATCACCTCTACTTGCAGTCAATTAAAGTCCTACCTGTTGTATTTCTCCTGCTGCCGTTGTACTTACTTAAACTGGGCTAAATGTAAGCAACTGTGGCTGAACGAGACATCAATGTGACACTGTGTGAATCACCAGTTGGCAACAGATTGTACTAAGAGCAGATCAAATCAAATCAATGCAAGTTAATTGAAAAATAAAACATGGACACTAAATTTCTTAGTTGAAGATTGACTTACTTCCTGGCAACCCCACCCAGCTTTGTAACAACAGATGATTCTGGTCCTAGTGAAAATTGTAATCAGTAACTATAAAGGCTTATTTATAGTCTTTTTGTATGTAGCACACAGAAAACACAAAACATTCTCAAGCTTAAACTCAATATGTCTGTCTGGGCATCGCAACTATTTATGCATCACCACTTGTCAACTATGAAACTTGAAAAGCACACAAGGAATAACTTGTTCCATGCAACATCTGTATCACAAAAAAATTTCCAGACTACTACCCTGAAGCCTACTCAAAAATATGATGCCAAGCTAAAAAGAAGCAATTACAAAGGAGCCACCAGCTTGTTCAGAGTTGGGATTTAAATTAATCTTGAAGGATGAGATGGAAGTGCTGAGTTAGTGAATTTAATGGAGAAATTTCCAAAGTATGCTGGGTAGGCAGTGCAAGACAGACTGCCAAATAAAAGGTGAAAGGAAGGAATGATGCACAAAAGACTGGAGTTAGAGTTGCACATGGCATTTGTAATCTGGAGAATGTTGCAGAGATAAGGAGGGGCAATCAGTTCAGAAGCTAAATCAAGCATGAAAACAATAACTTTAAACATGAAGTGTCAAGAAAGGCCAATGGGATAGTTATAAAAGAAGTTTATGGAATTCAGAGCTGGATTGGATATGGATACATAAAAACTGAAATTTATGGACAATGGAAGACTGACTATAAAAACAATGAAACTGTCAGGAATTCAAAACATCATAACCTCCATTGGCTTCTGCAAAATTCTTCAGATTGTGAACCCAAAGCATAATCAGGAATGCATTCCCACTGAGGTGGCTGTCTCTGTTCTGGCAGAGGGTGCAGTGGAAAGATGTGACAGTGAATTACCTGAGTGTTTTGTGTCATCATCTTCAGAGAAGGAGCACTGGTTTGCAGTAGACTATAGACAACATGCCTCCTGACTGCAAAGATAGTAATGTAAAATACAAAGAATTAGCTATGGGTAACGTGCAGCCTATTTCCCAGTGGAGTTTAATGCATGTCCAGTTCTTGACACCAAGTTGGTGACATTCTCAATCTGTTGTCTTGAAATTATGGCCTCATTGTCCACAACTAAGCATCTGCCCTGCTCTTTGACCAATTTGACAGCGAGTTGTTCAGCATGAGTCCATGTGCAAATGTAAGAGACAGTACCACCATTCTTTATGCAGCCTGAGGTTACGCACTCTTTTGTCCTACAGGTAGATAGAAGGACAAGGTATCATTCTCAATAAACAGCAAACCTCTTTTAGAGTATAGAGGTTTGACAGCTAATGTCATTGCTCTAGTAAGTGTTGCCCACAAGCACTTCTTTGAAACTTTATTCGTGGGAAGTGGGCATCGCAGACTGGCCAGCATTTATTGCCTCTCTGAAGTTGCACTTGGTGGTGCTGAGTTGCCTCCTTGAATAGCTGCAGTCCACATGCTGTAGTTTGAGTCTCAATGCCCTTAAGGATGGAATTTCCACAACTTTCACTGCATAAACAAGCACGCAAATATGAAGACCACATATTCAATCTGATGCTGAAGCCTAGAACCCAGTCCCTGCCCGGCTATCACCCTGTTTAGCCTTTTTCTGAAGAAGGGTCCAGATCCAAAACGTTAGCTTTCCTGCTCCTCTGATGCTGCCTGGCCTGCTGTGTTCATCCAGCTCTAAACTTTGTTATCTTTATTTTACATAAATATATCGTTTGATGCCACCATGAATGCCAGTGACTACACCATACCACTTACTTTGCGGAGTGTAAGAGTTTATTGATCACCACTTGTAAGTTTACCTCCAAGACAGTCACCATCCTAACATGGTAATATATCGCTGTTCATGCAGTGTCACTGGGTCAAAATCCTGGGACCCACTTCCTAACAGTATTGTGGGTGTATTGACACCAAGTGGACTGCAGCAGTTCAAAGAGATAACTCACGACAATCTTCTGAATGGAATAGAAACAGACAACTATTACTGAAATGCATGAGCCCGAACTCTGCATATCTGTTCATAGAATATGTTGAATACTCCCTGTTCCAGGTCTATTAGCTCCCCACCTTGATACATTTTTCCATTACACTGCTACCAGTACTGGATCTGGTTCAAGCTCTAATCTAGAGAACTTTCTCCCAGTTTCTTTCCCTGTACATCTGCTGATAATACCACTGCCCAAGCGAGAGCTTCCAAAAATGATTCTTTTTATCTCCAGTGCAGATATTCCTCCACCATGCAATGTCTGACAAGATTTTCCATCGAATTCATTCCATTTCTGATTTGTCTGGCCTCATGCTTTGTTCCTCTCCGAACTGTAAATGAGTCATAGATGTCATCACTACAGAAAAAGGCCCTCCAGCCCATCAAGTCCACACCAGTCAAAAACAGCACCAAACTATTCTAATCCCATTTTCCAGGACTTGGCCCATAGCCTTGTCATGGGTGATCATTGGCATTATCTTTCAACTCATTAGCTTTTGCATTTGACAAATCACCTTCAGCCACATAGAACATGTGAACACTTCTTATCCACTTCTGCTCTCATAATTCTGAATGGAGCGCTTCCTCTTCTAGAAACCCCCAAATCTGTTGTTCTTCCCCTGACAATTTCACATAAAAGTGAGAAATGCAACACTTGCCCATTCACCAGATACCTTATGAATGTACAACACCTCAAATACTTCTTTCATATGAAACTGCAATTTTTAATTTGTTTTTTTTAATCCAGTATACTTTGATTCAGTGTTCACAATGTGTTCACTACACTAAGGAGAACATCTGCAAGTTCAACCTGAAAATCTCTATCACTGGTTTACCACAATTTGTTATCCAATTTCAAATTCATTCCCCTCTTGGTCAGTTTCCATCATGGCTCTTGTGACTGCAAACACAGGTTTTGCGTCACTGTACAAGAGTGGCAGAGTACAAAGGTGCTTGTTTCCCTGGCTTGTATTGCTTTGGGGAGACAATGTATTTTTTGTCAAAATTATTCTCTCACATCATCCCTTGCATCCTGTATTTCCTCTTTCAATCTCAAATTCTCTGCTTGTAATTCATTGTCTTGTTCTAACATTTTCTCTGTCTGTTTTAATTTTGTAGCATGTAGCAGTACACACCTCTATCTCCTTAATTGAATGTATAAATTGTCAGTTTCCTTTTGTAAATTTGTAATTTGTTCCCTAGACTCCTTATATTTTCTATTTAGTTACAAGGTGCATACATGGGCACTGTATCCCAGTTTATTCCCGATTTTTTTTATTTTAGTGTTACCCTTCTGAACCTCCCTACAAAGTCTATCAAAAATAGAATCCTAATCTCCTTTGCAATCTTCCATAATTCCTAATACATCATTTGCTCCAACTGCCAGTTTTCACAATCAAACATCCTAGCAACCGTTGCTTAGCAAATGCAAAAGCTATTGGTTTACTTAAGAATTACTCAACACACATTCAACTACAATCCAAAACTGTGACTTTGATGCTTCCCAAACTTAAAGCCAACTAAACCATGAATTCTGAGAACTATCTTGCCCCTGACAACAATTTTTGATTTTAGAGGGTTCGTGATCACAGTTACTTAATGTAGGCAGTTGACAATTTGTAGCAATTTTCTGATAATTTATTGAGAAACAGCATAGAGAGAGAGAGAGAGACCAAAAACTGTACACACAGTATTCCAGGTGTGTGTGTGTGTGTGTGTCCTGTAGGAGTTGGGAATGTCATGTTGTGGTTGTACAGGAACATTGGTTAGGCCACTTTTGGAATACTGTGTGCAATTCTAGTCTCCCTACTATTGGAAACATGTTGGTAAATTTGAAAGAGTTCAGGAAAAATTTACAAAGATGTTGCCAGGGTTGGAGGTTTTGAGCGACAGGGAGAGGTTGAATAGGATGGGGCTGTTCTCCCTGGAGCATTGGAGGTTGAGAGGTGACTTTATAAAGCTTTATTAAATCATGAGGGGCATGGATAGAGTGAATAGACAAGTTCTTTTTCCCAGGGTAGGGGAGTCCAAAATTAGAAGGCATTGGTTTAAGGTGAGGGGGAAAGATTTACAAGGGACCTACGGGGCAACTTTTTTACACAGAGAGTGGCGCGTTAATGTAATGAGCTGCCAGATGGAGTGGTGGAGCCTGGTACAATCACAATATTTAAAAGGTATCTGGATGGGTACTTGAATAGGAAGGGTTTAGAGGGATATGGACCGAATGCTAGCAAATGGAACTAGATTAAAAACCGAAAGAACGGTGGATGCTTTAAATCAGGAACAAAAACAGAAGTTGCTGAAAAAGCTCTGTAGGTCTGGCAGCATCTGTGAAGAAAAAATCAGAGTTAAAGTTTTGGGTCCGGTGATCCTTCCTCAGGGACTTATACCTGGTTGGCATGGACGAGTTGGACCGAAGGGTCTGTTTCCATGCTGTACAACTCTATAACTCAATGTGTGTGAGTTGGTGTGGTGCTAGTGTGACTTGTTTAGTGGTAGAGGGAGACAGAATCAGGCTGGAGGTTGGACAGTAAGTGATAAGATTGTAGTTCTTCTCCTGCACACTTTGGATGAAGTGATGCAAAAGGTCAGCACTGGGTACCCGGTTACCATGGTAACAGTGCAACACAGGCATGGAGGCCCATTATCTTCCCTCGCTCCGACGGAAGGGGCGGGGCGTCCGGCTGCAGACAAAGTCTCGCGAGGCTTCATGCCCCCTCCCTCTCTCTTTCTCGGCCGCTCTCCCAGGTCGGTAATGGGCGCCTTCGTGCTCCCCGTCCCTCACCTCGAATAACGCCGCCGATCCGCTCGATATGGGCGGGCGAGACGGGGCGAGCGGCTGGCGGCCGTGAGATGGCTCGGATGCGAGCGCTCGTGCGGCCGGATGGCAGGATCCGATGGGGATTTAATGACACACCGGCGCGGCCCAGTGAGGGGAAGAGAGAAAAATGGAGGCCGGTGGTTTCTCGGCGGCCGGACTGAGCGTGCGCGAGACGGGCCGCGATTCCCCGGGCCCATGTTTCGTTCTGCCCCTGAGGGCAGGCCGAGCGCGCGATACCCATTCCCCGGGCCCACGTTCCATCCTTCCCCCGAGGGCAGACCTGGCGCGCGATCCCCATTCCCCGGGCCCACGTTCCATCCTACCCCCGAGGGCAGACCTGGCGCGCGATCCCCATTCCCCGGGCCCACGTTCCATCCTACCCGTGAGGGCAGTCCGAGCGCGCGATTCCCCATTCCCCGGGCCCACGTTCCATCCTGCGGCCCCACTCCCCGCCTCCAGACCCTTGCGCTTGGTCACCTGATATTCGGGAAGTGGACCTTTTCTGCTAACGTGGTTCGGCGGGCCGTCAGTTTGATTTCCCTTCTCCCCTGCGTCCCCGATCGGTTTTTGCGCTCTGAATTTCTTGCTTCTGGTATGCATGTGCCCTTTAATCACTGCGGCTGATTTTTCTCCCCTCCGTTTCTCATCAGAGACAGGCCATGTTTAGCAGCAGCGCCAAAATCGTGAAGCCTAATGGCGAAAAGCCAGACGAGTTCGAGTCTGGCATTTCCCAGGTAAGTGCGTTATTTGCAAGATCTCTTGAACGCTTTTGCTAGATGTTAAACCAAAATTAACATTTGAATTACTTAACTCGGACAAGCATTGAGTCATATGCAGTGCAAGTGAGAGTTCACAATTTAAACTGTACAATAGTCGTTCGGCCCTTCGCTGTGGATAGAGTTCGCGCCCTTTATCCAAGTTACCCTTCAAGTGTACGTCTAATCTTCTGTTGAAATGATTTATTTTTGTCTTCACACTTCCATGACATTATGACTCCTGTAAGAATTTTCTAGAATCCTTCCTGTGTTTGGTGCTCAAAATGTTAAATGTGTGTCTCCTAAGACCTTGTGTCATCAGCTGATGGAAATAGTTTTTTCTTGACATTACATAAACCTGTTAATCTTGCACACTTCTATTAAATCTCTTCTCTGTCAGCTGATGGTTGGCAGCCTTTTGGTCTGCATGGCTGTACAGTTGTAAGAAGTGTCTTTTAGAACTTTACAGTCAAGACTGTTTTGCTAACTGCAAATGTCTTTAATAGTATTTCACCTTTTATTGTAGGCTCTTCTGGAGTTAGAAATGAATTCTGACCTGAAGGCTCAGTTACGAGAGCTGCACATTACAGCTGCTAAAGTGAGTTTTTCTTTTAAAACAAAGTCATAGTCGTATAAGTGTGGAAACAGACCCTTCAATCCAACATGTTTCCTAAACTAAACTGGTCCCAATTACTTGCGTTTGGCCTATATCCCTCAAAACCTTACCTATCCATGAACTTGCCCAAATATATATTGTACTTGCCTCTACCACTTCCTCTGGCAATTTGTTTAATATACATGCCACCTGTCTTTTTTTATGTAAAAGAGGAAAAGAGAATATAATATTCATCATATGCAGTTATTTCAAGACTTTAAAATCCAGAGCCATGGAAACCTAATCAGTGAATTACATCTTTGCTATATCTAAGACAGCAATCCGAATGTAATCCCTCCCCTCGCAATTTTTATAAGGGATTGGTAACTGTGATTATAATTGTGCTAAAAATGCAAAAGATGAATTAAATTTATTGGTAATGATTCGCATCTTTTCCCCTTCTTGTTTTTGTTTGTCTTCCTGGACATGCCTGTTCCTTGTGAGTTTGTGGTTCTCCAGTTGTTCGCCTTCTAATAGCCAAATGGGGTTGGAGTGAATGCTGACTGATTAAATGAACACTTGGGTACAGGATTTTGTTGGGGTTGAGGTTTAGACCACTGAGATGCCTGTAAATAGATTTAATAGTGATGCTCTTCTAAGTTAGAGATTGTCATAGAGGTACTCGTAAGACTAGGTGGATGTTAAACTTAATAAAGTAGTTGAAATGTATAATATCGATACATTTAAGGGAATGCTAAACAAAATTCGAGTAATGAGCCAGCTCATTAAAATGATGTTAAAAATCAAATTAGAAATAATGCCACATTTGCCCAAGTCAGCAAAATTAGTCTGTATGAAACCTGCAGTATGATTGTGAGAGAATTTTTTTTAAGCCAACAATGATCTTGGATGACTATCTAGAAATAAACAAATATTCTCACAGTCTTCATAGACTTAGTGTTTGTGTATAGTACCAAAGATTAAGATAAATTTAGCGATAGATTTGTCCTGGGACCCAATTTGATTTATTACAGTCTTAGGTACCTAAGTCCAGCGAAAAGGTTTGTTTTGCATGCAGTACAAACAGATCATACCATACAAAGTGTATTAGGGTAATAGAACCAGAGCAAAGAATACAATGTTACAGCTGCAGAGAAGGTGCACCAAGAGTGAGATCAATATTAAATTTAAAATTTGAGAGGTCCATTCAAAAGCCTAATAGTATTGGAGAAGAAGGTGTTCTTGAATAGTGATCATTAGGGTACAAAAGGTGTAATCGGATGTATTTCATTTAAGTAGATGAGTACAGCAAAGCTACGTGCCGACACTAAAATGATTATATGCAATAAATATTCAAAAAATTAGATTTATTTACAGATAAAAATTTGAGATTAAAAACTACAAACCTGCGATATGTTAACAACAAGGTACTACTGGAAGAATCAGAAGTGACTCTAAAATATCCAGGATGATGGAAGTTTGGACTATAGATTGAGAATGTACACCAGAAGTAGTTTTTCTTTTTAAAAATGCATTAGAAGGGACTAGAGTGAAGATTGAAATGCATGGTGCTCCACTGGAGCAAGTAGATAAGTTGGTCTATGTGGGACAGATGGTAACAGAAGATGGTACGTGTGATTCAGAAGTTAGAAGATGTAAATATTCTTGTAGAGGTGATGGATGAGTTGACGGACAGAAAACTGAAGCTTGAACATGAAGAAAATCTCTTGATGCTATGTTTTGTCCACCTGTCAGTATGCCTATTGGATAAGGCACTGGCCTCCAAAGCCAGGGATTGTGGGTTCAAATCCCATCTGGGGTGTCTGATTTTGGGCGGCACAGTGCCTCAGTGGTTAGCACTGCTGCCTCACAGCACCAGAGACCTGGGTTCGATTCCACTCTCTGGCATCTGTCTGTGTGGAGTTTGCACATTCTCCCCGTGTCTGCATGTGTTTCCTCTGGATGCTCCAGTTTCCTCCCACTGTCCAAAGATGTACAGGCTAGGTGGATTGGCCATGCTAAATTGCCCCAAGTGTTCAAGGATGTGTGGATTATGTGGATTATGGGCGTGGGTCTGGGTGGGATGCTGTGAGAGTTGGTGTGGACTTGTTGGGTCAAAGACCCTGTTTCCACACTGTAGGGAGTCTAAGTAAGCCCCAGAAACATAGACTGTAACTGATAGGAAATAAAGGCTTTCGAAATATGTTTGCTAAGATGTAATTTTACACTGACCAATGAAGAGGAGCTTGAATCTGCAAGGAATTAAATCCAGAAAAGATAATGTCAATGTTTCAGCCATTTGATCAAAACTGAAAAAGTGCTATAGTGCATTGCTTTTTTTTTGTGTAAACTTGGTTGTATTGGCTTTTCTTAAAGAAAAGTTCCATTTAGCGTATTTTTTAAACAGACTATGCACTTCTAGGAAAACATTTTTATCATGAATGATCTGCTTAAAAGGGGTTGGTATCTTTGTTTTTACCGCTTCGCTTTTTAGTGTTTCTTTTTAACTAGGAAATTGAAGTTGGCAGTGGCAGAAAAGCAATCATTATCTTTGTGCCAGTACCCCAACTGAAGTCTTTTCAGAAGATCCAAGTACGGCTAGTGCGAGAGCTTGAAAAAAAGTTTAGTGGTAAACACGTTGTCTTCATTGCACAGGTAATGTCAAATTTTGAACTTGTTGTAAAGTTTCAGCCTGTAGTACCGTTCTAACCTTTCCTGCATGAACTTATTAAAATATTTTTGTCTATAGAGGAGAATTTTGCCAAAGCCAACTAGGAAAAGTAGAAACAAGAACAAACAGAAGCGTCCCAGAAGGTAAATATCCTTTTTTTTTACTTTACATTGAGCAGTTCAGCAGAAGTGATATTTGGTGCATCACTTGTTATAACATGATAGATGGTTGGGGAAATCTGATTTGGAAAGCTGGGTAAAACACAAGTGCAGTTTTTGTTTTCCTGAGAAGCATGTGGTCCGGGTGGATATAATCAAATGAGTTGAATTTGGGCGCTGACTTCCTAAGACTGTTGTATGATTGGTATTGTGGAACATGTGGCTATGGTTTTGCATTTTATATCTAACACTTCACATTGTTTTGTATAAATGTAGGAGTTTAGTTTGAAGCAATGATTTGGCTTGTAAAGAAAGTGGGACTAATTAGAAGGCTTGTTTGAAAGAGAAAACAAACACAATGGGCAGAAGACAAAGATATAGTCAAGTTGTGTAGTGAATTTTAAAGTTTATAAAGTTGAATATAAAGATTATTAGTGGGTTGACATTTGGGAGTGTTTTGGAAAACAGTGAAGGGCCACCAAAAACTAAATGTGGGCCAAAAAAAGTGGGACATTAAAGCAACTAGCTGGAATGTAATAGTAGACCGAGAGCTTTTCCAAATATAAAAGGAAGGGTAGCTAAAATAAACATTGGTTCCTTGGAAGTAGAGGCAAAAGTAGCAGTTATTGTGGGGGTAAGGAAATGGCTGACATTGAGTAAATGTTTTGTGCCTGTTGTCGGAGAAGGCACAAGTTGCATCCAGTAAGAGGATAACCTAGATATTTTAAAATGTTAGTTAAAAATTTTGCAAGAATCATTCCAGAATCTAAATTTTGGAAGAGGATCACCAATTATTGACCATGTCTATAATCACCTTCAACACTGAAATGTAGACCATCAGATCTTAGGAGCTTATCAACTTTCACTCCCATTAATTTCTCCAGTACAACCTTTGTACTAATACTGACTTCCTTGAAGTCCTCATTCTACTTGGTAAGTTGAATCTTATTTTTCAGATTTTTGTATCTTCTTCGGTCATCTTCCTAATCATCTAGCTCTGTCGTTTCTCTGTTCCCTATTTTAATTTCTCTTGATGCTGCTTCTAATGGGCCCACATTTGTCTTCGCTAAGCATTCTCTTTATACATACCCCTCTTATAGTTCATTTTGTTTTGTTGCTAGATTGAATTTGTATTCTGTGCATCCTTTCCTTTTCCGTTTTTTGGTTCCCCTTGCTGTTATCTGTTAACTTTGCAATCATCAGATTTATTACAGTTTCCTGCCATTTTAAAGTTTGCCCATTTCCTATGTACAGTCAATCCTTTTAATGTACTTTCCTGATCTAGTTTAGCGAAGTTGTGCCTCATTCTTTCATAATTTCCCTTATACGGACTTAACACCCTTGCTCCAGAATAAACTACCTCCCTTTCAAATATAATGTAAGATTCTATCACATTGTGGTCATTCATCCCTAAAGGTTATTTTATAACAAGTTATTAATTTGCAGTTTTTATTACATAATACTAGATCTAAAATGGCCTGTGCTCTAATTAGCTGTTGAAGATGCTGCTCTGGAAAACCATTCCTAAGATACTCCAGAATCTTGTTGTCACAGGTCTAGTGCTCTTGTTTATCCAGTCTATATGCAGATTAAAGTCACCCATGATAACTGGAATAAGTGCTTCATGCTTTGCTCCTCCTAATTTGTTTCACTGCTCATATTACCACTACAGTTTGGCTGATAATTAACAATTTATGCTGCCTCTTAATGTTTTAATTCCATCTGAACAGATTCTGCAAGTTTTTTTTTCTGATCTGAGATCCTTCCTTATGAATATACTGATCCCATCTATTACTATCAGGACAATTCCTTTTCCTTCCTTCAAAGGGTCATACTGCACTCAGTGTTAACTGTTTCTCTTTCCACAAGTGCTACTGAATTTTTCCAATATTTTCTATTGTTTGTTCAGCTTTCCAGTCTCAAGTATTTTGCTTGTATCCTTTTCCTCCCCACCTGTTCTTTCCTAAATGCAGAATATTATTGAATATTCTGTTCCCAGTTGTGGTGAACATGTAGCCATGTTTCTATAAAGGCAACTATATCCTAACCATCTACCTGTACTTGTACCATTACACCATCTTCCTTGTTGCAAATGTTGCTTGCATTCAGGTGGAGTGCTGTTATTTTTATCTTGTTGCTGGCATTTGGCTTTCGTAGCATACTTGATACTCGCTTTGACTCCCTTACAGCTGTTCTTCAACTTTACTCCCTTCCAATTTGGGTTACCCCTCAGCTTCCTGGCCCTTGACAAGCTAGTTTAAACCAACCCCAGTAGTAAATCTCCCTGCAAAAATATCAGTCCCAGTCCTCTTAAAATGTAACCCGCCCAGTTTGTCCAAGTCCCTATGTCTCAAATGTGGTGCCTGCCCTCCCTTCTACACCAATTCTCCAGTCCCAGTCAGTTCTCCTGTCTTGTACTAACTAACATGTGACATGGGAATAATCCTGCATTTACTGCTCCTTAAGTTGTGCTTTGTAATTTCTTTCCTAACTGCCTGAACTCTGCTGTCAGTAACTCGTTCCTGATCCTGACTGTGTCCTTGTTATCAATATGGACCACGACTTCTGGGATTTCCTATTCCCTGAGAAGGACATCCTACTGCCACTCAATATCATCCAAGGCCTTTGAACCTAGAGTCACATTTTTATACTGTAGAAGCGTCTGTTTGAGCCCTGACTACAAAATACCCTTCTCTCCATTCCTTCACTCCCATATGCTCAAACAGCTTAGACAGCCCTAACACTGCGGACAGGTTAGTGGCTGCACTCTGCTGAGGAACTGTCACCTTCACTAGTTTCCAGAATGATGTACTGCTTGGCAAGTTACGGAAAAAAAAGGGACAGGTCCACAGGTTAAGGTGGTGAGCTGGTCCGGGGCCATTAGGCAGGCTGTAGCAGAGGTAGCTTGAGTGAGTCTGTTTGAAGGAAAAGAAACGACTGGCAAATGGGGGTGCTTTTAAATGTATGACATCAAGAGTACAGGGACAGTATGTCCCTGTTAGGGTAAAGGGAAAAGCCAGCAGGTTTAGGGATCCATGGCTGACAAGGGATATTGAAGCTCTGGTCTGGAAGAAAGAAGGCATACACTGGGTTTAAGCTGTCAGGCTCAAGTGAATCCCTAGATGACTGAAAAGTGTAGGAGCATACTTAGGAAATGAGAAGAGCAAAAAGAGGGTTTGAGATGGATCTGGCAGAGAAGGTTAAAGATAACCCCAAGAGGTTCTGTAGCTATATTAAAAGTAAAAGGGACTAGGGAGAGAATAAGTCCCCCTTAAAGGCCAGCAAGGCCATCTTTGTGTGGAGCCACACATGGTAGAGAATTTTAATGAATATTTCTCCTCAGAATTCATAATTCTGTCCTCAGTAAATACTAAGGGAATAAGAGAAACAAGTGGGGATGTTTTGGACCACGTGCATATTACCAGACAAGAGGTGTTTGCAGCCTTAAAGTGCATTAAGGTGGATGAATCCTCTGGGCCTGATCAAGTCCATCCTTGGATGTTGTGGGAGGCTAGGGAAGAAATTGCAGAGGCCTTTGCAAAGATTTTTGCTTCGTCTTTAGCCACTAGTGAAGGTCCAAGAGACTGGAGGGTGACAAATGTTGTTCCATTATTTAAGAAAGGTAGCTAAGCCAAACCAGGAAATGACAGGCCAGTGAGCCTGACATCAGTGGTAGACAAGTTATTGGAGAGGATACTGAGGGACAGGATCAACCAGCATTTGGATAGTCAAGGTCTGATTAGGAATAGTCAACATGGGTTTGTGCGTGGGAGGTCGCACCTGACAAATCTTTTGACTTTGTTGAAGATGAGCGTAGGGCAGTGGATGTTATCTATATGGACTTCGTGCAGGGCTTTGACAAAGTCCTGCACAGCAGACTAGTCACGAAAGTTAGGTTGTGTGAGTTCCAGGGAGAGCTAGCTAATTGGATTCAAAATTGGCTTGATGGTTGAAGGTTGTTCCTTGGACTGGAGGATTGCGATAGTGGTGTGCCACAGGGGTCGGTGCTGTGACGTTTGGTATTTGTTATTTACGTAAATGATCTGGATGTAGATTTACAAGGCATGATTCGTAAGTTTGCGGATGATACACAATTAGGAAGTATAGTTGATAGCGAAGAAGGTTATCAAAAATTTGAGGGATCTTGTTCAGATGGGGAAGTGGTCTGAGGATTGGCAAATGCAGTTCAATACAGGTAAGTGTGAGATGTTGCACTTTGGAAAGTCAAACCAAGGTAGGACTTCTACAGTAAATGGTAAGGTCATGAATGTTGTGGAACAGAAGTACATAGTTTGTTGAAAGCAGTGTCATAGGTAGGCAGGATGGTGAAGAAGGCATTTAGCATGCTGGACTTCATCAGTTGAGGCATTGAGCATAGGATTTGGGATGTTATGTTACAGTTGTATAAGTTGTTGGTGAGGCTGCACGTGTGTAGAGTTTTGGTCGTCCTGTTATAGGAAAGACATAGTTAAACTGGAAAGTGTGCAAAGAAGATTTACAACAATGTTGCCAGGACTAGTAGGCCTGAGTTATAGGGAGAGGTTGCCAGGATAAGACTTTATTACTTGGAATGTAGTTGAATGAGGGGTGACCTTATTGAGGTGTATAAAATCAGGATGAATGCGCATAATCTTTTTCCCAGGGATGGGAAATTGAAGACTAGAGGGTGTAGGTTTAAAGGGAGAGAGGATAGATTTAAGAATGAGCTGAGGGGCAACTTCTTCACACAGTGGTGCATATATGTAATGGACTGCCAGAGAAACTGGTTGAGGCAGGTACAGTAGCAGCATTTTTCTTTAAAATGGATGGAAAGTGTTTAGAGGGATATGGACCAAATGCAGGCAATTGGAACTAGCTGAGAGGGCACCATGGTCAGCATGGACCTATTTCTTTGCTGTATTCCTATACGACCCTATAAGTGTGTTTTGCCCCCACCCCACGCTATGTTCCTATGTATTCTATCTACATAAAACAGTAACTCCAGCCATTGCTCAAGTTTTGAAACACAAAGCTTAAGCTGTGTAACCCTTGACACTTACCATAGAT